CCATTTTCTATAACATAAAATTTTGTTAATAATGATTTAAAACCAACTTTTATTTGTGCATCAAATGAGCCTAACACTTTAAGGGGATGTTTGGCGCCATAAACCAGGAATGTTTTATCTGAAGACTTTTGTTGGTTGGAAACTATAACTTTAGATTGTTTCATGTGTACCCAAGTTTTATCATTAATAATATTGGATGTACTACCGGAATCAATGAGCATTTTTATGTTGATCCCACCTACCTACAATCTATTGTTGCATCATAGTCGATGTGGAAAATATAGTCTACAGATGTAGACTCTCTGTTTTTGGTGGTTTCTGTTTTGGGCTTCTTAACTTTATGGTTGTCATTTGACGAGAGGTTGGTATTTTTTCTTTTATTGGCCCTTGTTCTACAGTGTTTCTGGAAATGTCCTTTGAAACCACATTTCATACAATTTAAATTTATTGCAGGGCAGGAACTATTGTCACTTTTGTGATTTTTACTGCCACATCGGCTACAGAAGTTAACCCTCTTTTTTAGAATACAGTTTCGTTGTTTTAGTGTCGATTTTATTAAGGCTGGTAGTTGTTGTGCTCTGTCTATCATGGAACTCGTTAAGTTGCCGTTCTACAGTTTCTAGGGAGTTTGCTTCTGCTACGATTTTTCCGATTGTTGCCGTGTCACCAAGTACTAAAATATTCTTTCTTAATTTGGTTGAGCTACACTTTTCTATTATTTGGTCAATGAGATTTTCATCTGCATTGGCGAAATTGTATTTAGAACTTTGACTTCTTAGACGAACCAAGAATTTTTCAAACTTCTCGTCCGGTTCTTGTTTCATCAACCGGAAGATGTGCCTTTCAAATAAATAACTTTGTTTGGGGGAAAATACTCGTCCAACTTTTTAATTGCGGTGTCATATACGCCAGTCGCATCAAGATCAGTCACGTGGGCACCAGGAATATTGAAGTAAATGTCTTGTAACGCCATGCCTCCGGAATGTAATAACATGGCGCGTTTTGTACTTTGGTCATTGGTATTTGTTGCTACGAAATATATTTCTAATGCACGTTTCCATCTGCCCCACTGGAAACTTGTGAAGGTTGGATCGCCTTCACAATCGAATGGTTCTATTGGCGGGACTTGTGATTGGAACATTTTTTGACGATCTGTAAATAAGTAAGGGAGGAGGCTTGTAAGCATGCAATGTAGTAAAAGAATCCCAAAATCGAATTTATAACTTTTTACTAAGTAGCATAAAGTTAATGATTTATGAATGATATTTATTAGCTTATAGGAATTGAGTAAAATCCATTGTAATATTAACTCAGAATTGATTGTAACTGGCATTTAATATTTTGTGACTAGCAACATCGATACCGAATAAGGTTCCGTACTACGTACTAGATTGCTACATATTTACTATTCTGTGGTCCTTACTATGTAAGCTGAGCATAGTTATTATACACTATAAATTAGTCTATGACGACCATAGATGCAAGTCACACAAATATCCATTAATAAGTAGGTACTCACTATGTGACTTGATATTATTCCATATTATTCTAAGCAAATAGTCAGGACACAAACTATTATATGACGTGCAGCGATAGGAAGATATATTGAAATTGAATAAGAAAATATATTAATGTTTGTTTTATAACGATAGACAGTGCAAGATACATCCACCTTGTCCTTTTTTTCCATTATATTACTTGGCTATAACGGGTTTGACACTTGTTTAGTTTTAACAGTAACATATTTACATAACTCCCAATTTATTGAAGTGGTACTTTGTTATACTGCATAACGTGATTCATTACACCGTTTTGTTATTTTATCGAAATATTTTTCGATAGGAATCGTCAGCAAACAGATTTGGTCAATAATTTTACTTGTAGGGTACTTTGAGAACACTATTTAGATATACAATAAAGCTATTAATTTAGTTTTGTCAAGATACGGTGCGAAATGAAATGCCGTAACCCCATTCGTTACTAAATAAATGACGCAATGACCCTCGATGAGATTTAAACAACTCAATCCCAGTCAATCGCTGACAAAGACGGCGTATAATTATGTAACGGCGCAATAAACAATGAACTATTTAATTTTGAATAAACAAGTAATATAAATACTCTATTTCACCTAGGCTGTCGTGTTCAAGACATCCATTTTTTATTTCTCTTTTTTTTTAAATATTTTGTGCCATTTTAATTTTATTGCTGACCAATATCCGTAACTGGTTTAAAATTATGATCAAAAATTTTACTTACTGCGCTTTTACTCGTCGCCAATGTAGTGTCCACTAATTTAAGTGTAGGATTTTAGTAAAACAACTATATCAGTAAGTAGGTACACAGCACAACGACAACGTCCACTCGCCACTGATGACAGATCGACAATACGAGTGAGGCACCACCGTTGGTCTGTGTACTAATATATATATATTTAATTATACGTATATCACATATATAATTTCGTACTTTTTACCTATATGCCATTTATAAACCAGAAACGCCTGAAAATTCTCTCAGTTCCGCTGGGATTTCTCGGAGTTCAGACGTGTGCAGTGTCGCTCAACATTACTTTACCTCTCGCTCGCACTGTTGATCTCTTTCCCTCGTGCAGCTCTTATGGACTGAGCGGAGCATATCGTGAAAGTTGCTTTACTTAAATATATATTATTTTCATTTAATTGTCATATTAGTTCTAGTTTTTAGTGTTTATATTAGTATTTGATTAATTGACTTAGACTTTTATATTTAGTATGTTTTATATATTTTAAGTTTTATATATAATTTATTACCAAAATAAAAAATAAACGGAAAAAGATGGATAGAAAAAAGAAGAAATATCCTTGTGTCAGTAAAAATAGTAGTAAAGTACAAAATGTACGAGGTAGAGGCGAAATTTGTATGAAGAGGCAGTTTTTATTTTCCTTCGTTGTATATACCCTTTTTAAACCTACACCCCGTATAAACATTACTAAAAACGACATTTATGAAATATAAAAGGGTAAAAAATTATACTACCAAGACAAAAGTAAAATGAATATTTTTGGAAAAAAAATTAATAAGTTATATATTTAATGAAGTAGAGCACCTTCACCTGCGATCTCGAACGTATTTATGCACGGGGGAGAGCGCCCCGGCTAATGGCTGGGAATGTAAAACAGCAAAACTAGACGGAAGCCTTAAGTTTTACATAATTTTCTTATATAAATCATAGCATCAAGCGTTTCTATCATTTTAATAGTTTGTGCATGATGTGTAAGTAGTAGGGATGGGCCGAACATGGATTTCACCGAATACGAATATTCGGCCAAACATTATTCGGCAGGATCATCTCGGTACCTAACCAATTTATGTCGATAGTTGTTACCGTAAAGCGCGCGGGATTAGCGCCGGACCCTGCCACTCACTCCCCCGCCACACCTGACATGCTTTTGTATCATCATCTTGTACTGAGCAAATTGCCGGCACACATGCTTATGCTTTGAATAGTTTTGGGCGAAAAAAAATTGTAGTGTTATTCTTAGTGGATATTGATAATAATATGATAATAATGAGTGGCAGGACATCTACTATTTGAATTTATTTCAGAGAAACTGACTGAAACTTACTTACTAATGTAATGTAATGTTTCTTTGTTTGATTCCAAAAATATTTTATCAATCTTTCTATTTGCTATAATTGGAAATAAATCTAAATATATAACTTATACACATGTAACATATTTAACGCACTTTGAGAAAGTAGTTTGTTCAGATTCGTTTACTGAATCGATTCCTATATTTTTAATATAGGTAATTTTTTATCCCAAAAATAATTAAAAGTACGTAAATTACAGTCATACTAAATCTGTACAGTCAAAACAAACTGAAATGGACCATAACTTAAGGCAATAAGACTTTAGAGTGCAGTTTTATTTGTATTATTACTAATTCTGTCATTCAATAAAAATAAAGAAAAATGAACTTTATTTCAAGCATTTTAAAGTCTTTGCGTTCGTGGATTTGTACTTCCATTTCGTGACCACAACATTCTTCCGGAATTAGTATAACTAATTTGATAAATAATCAGTGCATAAAAATGTTTAACTAAAAAGTCAGTGTATGTATTATGATTATAACATAATATACTAATTGGGGTGTCTGAGGGGCGTCAATTACGTTACATATTGTATAAAAAAAATACAAGTAGCCCAAACACTTTCAATATAAAAAAAGTACAGTAGATTTAACCCATAAATAAAATACACTTTCAACAGTAAAATTATGAAAGACATAGCATTACTCAATTCATACATTTCAATACAGTGGACTCTGAGTATACTACTTTACCGAATGTTCGGTGATTTAGCCGAATATTCGGCCCATCTCTAGTAAGTAGATCATTTTTGGCAATAATCCAATTTTAATAACAAAGAAATTTATTTTTATGCTCAATTACACTATAGATGTTTGTTTAATGTTATTTTTTAACATGTTTGTAAATAAAATGTATTCAATATTATACTCATAAATAAAGTTTCAGACAGTGAGTCCTACCAACAATGGTAGGAATATAACTTATTTATAAATTGCATATTTTTTGGTAGCTATTTTACTCAATTTCTAATAAACCTGAAAGTTAGAAACAACATAATATATAGTAAGAGAATTGTTTAGTTAAACATAACCATATTTAAAAAGATAATCTGTTATTAATGAAATATTAAAAGAATTTCAAGAGGAAAAACTTACATGAAGAGATTTTTTAGTTTCACATGGAACTCCCATTTTTTCATCAGTATAAATGTCCACTGCTGAACATAGATCTTTCCCTTTGCATGTTTGATTATTTAGTATACGGAAAACAACCGTCCCTTTTACCAATGCAGACACCAAAACTAATCAGAAGATAATGCTGACCTTTAATTCTAAAACATCACTGGGCCGAGCTTGCTATAATGGCGATGATCATCTTTTATTAGATTAAACATTTGTTAATTTTGAGCTTTAATTTCGGCCCAGCTTCGTCAAGGCCAATCCTACTGCACAGACAACGAGTGTCTGGAGCAGTTACCAGGGCTGCCTCGCCCAGAATCAGCCGGGAACAGTTTCCTGGTGATGTTCATCATGATGGCGCTTGCAGTCGCTATGTACATGATGCGCCCGCGACGCAACCAGATACAGGACGCCGCCAAGCCCGCGCCAAACTCGCACGTAAGTTATTATTTAAGATCTTACACTCTTTGAAAAATTGATCCATGGGCATACAAAACCTTAACATAAATCAATAGGTAGATCAATAGCTAAGTGCTTATGTCAAATTTCGTAGTAATAAATAAACATTAATTTATTCCTCAAATAAACAAACTTAGCAATAATACGTATATATTTTAAATAATACTTAATTACCTAAGGAAAAAGATAAAAATATTAACATAAATTAGGGTTATCCCGTTTATTCACCCTACCATCCAGGGTGGATACTCGAAAACGCGTGTTTATCTAATCCTCTCCAGACGGGGTGGATAATCGGAATATAATTTTCTTTCTCGACTATTAACAATCATGTATAAAAACATGATAAAAACTGGCCCAAGATAATTAGTAGACAAGGGTTAGGGGTTAGGGTGTTAGTGTATACACTGTTATCCTTGAAACCGGTGGTTTGGTTTCACTTATAGAACGTAAATTCAATGAAAAATAACGACATTTTTTTTAGTAGAATCTCAATTTTTCCTTAATTCCTCAATTTTCGCGTCCTAAGCCAGGATGAAAGTACGAAGTAAAAGTTACATCACAGGTTATGTGTACCTGTTGTGTTTTTATTGGAATCTAGTGTTGGTAGCTAGCGCGGGCGGTGATCTTTATAGTGATTACGTCACTTGGGCGCATAGGGTATCCATGAGTTTACGGACGGTGTCGGACAGAAACTTTTTAAATTTTATAAAAGAAAATAGCGTTTTTTTTAAATTCATTGAATTTACATTCTATAAGTAAAACCAAACCACTGGTTTCAAGGACAACGGTGTTTACACTAACACTCTGTATACATAGTTCTTGTTTGAAAGGTCAACTCTGAAATAAAAGGAGTGCCTCACAGCATTACAGACTCATTGGACCGTTGGAATAAAACAATTTAAAATGAAGTTAAAGACAAATATCTAAAGTAACGACTTTAGAACGCTTGCTAATTAATACAAAGAAATTTTAAAAACGTTGTAAATGTACATTAAAAGATACAAATTTATCCAGGATATCAAATTACGTTTCCTCAATAATAAAATTAGTGTTAGTATTGCAGAATTTATAAATTACGTAATATTATTTAAAACGAAGCTTAATTTTATTTAAATGCAATACGTAATGCATGGACTTTAATAGTTGTAACGGCATTACATAACATGATTTTTTTTAATGTGTGTGGCTATTAAAAATTAATAATTATTAAAGTACACGAGTTGAATTGTACTTGGGGTAAAAAGTCGAAAGAACAAATATAAGTGAATTCCGATTAAACGGAATAACTCATAAATTAAAAAAAAACTGCCAAAAGGGTTTGACAATAGCCAGTTCAATTTTAACTGACCTAAAATATACAAGTTTTTTTTTATAGGATAAGGGTGACAAACGAGCACACAGTCCACCTGATAGTAAGTGAATGCTGTGGCCCATAGACCTACATTTTACCTCGCTCAAGACTCAAAATGCAGATACTTTGTCACCCATGAGGACTAAGATGGAATGCTTCTTATTCCAGTAAAACGGATCTCCGGTTCTTTACACTTACTATATGAAACACAGCAGCGCTAAGCTGCTATTTTAAGCTGGTATTCTGTTGAGCGTGGTCCTTCTCTGGTTGAGTCGACCCATTCATGCTACAATCAAAATAGCTGCAGTGTGGCTCTACCACATATAAATATGGTATAAGCTTTCATTAATGATTCATTTATATTTTGGCAAATATATTCGCCAGAGCTAAAGTATAAGGATAAAAATCGAAATAGAAACACGTCAGAACATTGAAGTAATTATGTACTTACGTACTAGAACAGCTATCTCAAACAAAAAATGTGCGCTACTGTGTTCGCCCAGTTGGTTTTTTTATCATAGAATAAACATAGGTAGAATGATCCGTAAGTAATAGTAGATTGTATTGTTAAATAGGTAAATTATATAGAGAACAATATTTAAATTTTGTCATTTATTTTGTATATTATATTTGCTTATTTAATATAATATTACATGATATTATATCTTAATTACATTTAATGATATTTTTTATCATTAAAACTATTAAATACTTTTAATGTACTCATTAACAATGTCGAAGATTTCTTTAGATATTTAATTTTAAACATGGTCGGATTAAAATGTCGTTTAAATAAAATAAAATGCTTTCTTTAAATTATTTATTAAATGCACAAGAAACAATATTAATTTATACTTACAACCAAAAAATTATTAAACTTCTAAGTGATACACCCAATTATCTTTATTTGCCTTTAAACAAAATTAATTTTCGTTAGTTTTTGGCGCTCAGAGATATATTCATTTGATAATTTTGCCTCCGAGTGCAAACGTATGGTGGTATTTATTTATTACAGCCCGAATAAAATGAACTCTGTGGTTAAGAGTGGAAAGTTGATTAAATGCGTGCTGGATTAAACCAGTAAATACTTCTTTTTCCTTGAATAATTTTAAAGTATTCACTGTGAGATATGTGTAAATAAATAAAAAAAAAACATCAAAATCGGTTCAAAAGTAATCAAAAATTTTATTGTGTGATGAAATGTATTCTAAGTTTGAGTCCAAGTAACACTAATTTGAATCGGCAACAACTCACGGCACAAATATTTTATACGCGTTGTCGTATAGGTATTTTTTTATAGATAAGGTGACAAACGAGCACACAGTCCAGCTGATGTGATGGTAAGTGGTTGCTGTGGCCCATAGACATCTACATCTATCCTCGATTACGAATCAAAATGCAGATGCGTTATCACCCGTGAGTACTAAGATAGAATATCTCGTTTCCAGTAAAAAAGGTCTCCGGTTCTCTACACTCACCATACGAAACACAGCAGCATTAAGCTACTATTTTAAGCTGGTATTCTGTGAGAGCGTAGCCCTTCCCCGGTGGAGTCGACCCATTCGTGCTACAACTATACATCTAACTGCAGCATGGCTCTACCACAAACATAACTTGGCACATGCTGCATAATCCTATATGTCTCTTATCTGTAAGTGAAAAACTGAAGCATGCGTCAAGTGCCAAGCCCTTACATCACAACCGCATCTGCTAAATATCTATGTAAATGCACATGCAAAAGCAGACCTTAGTTAATACAAACAACGCCAAATTATAATTATCTGCAACTAAAAACCTTAAAACCTTATGGAGGCAATTTACACAAAACTATTATTTGTAAACCATACAAATACTTGGCAACACATTACTAAACTACTGCGCCAAAGAGCCCGCAAATGCTTACAGATTATGGCTGACCTTTTTAGACTTAGTAGACCCTTTGACCTTGTGCACACGTGTTACATGTTATGCTTATGTAGCGGTCCAACAAAAATAATTTTTCTCTGACCTTCATTAGAATTTGGAGAGTTAAAGCTTAGTTCAAGGGGGTGGGGGGCAGTGAAGGGCAGCTGCCCCCATCCCTTTAAAACTCAAAAACGTGTAGTTAAATGTAAAGCAACCAGTCATATTTATTGTAATCAAGAGCTCGTGGAGCTTTACATCACCGTACCGTTCTTATTACCATCGCCGAAGAGGTAAGACTCGCAATAGAAGTGTAAAACTCCAAGTGCTTTTACACTTTTTTGTTCTTTGTACCTACACTGTCCCATCTTATATCAACCCCCCTCCCCCCAGGTCATCGGCTGGCGACGACCTTTGTCGTTAGTTTATAATATTATCATATCATTTAACAAGTATTTTAAAGTAATTTAATCTAAAAGCATGTTTGTATGTGCTTTTTTACTGGCAACAAGGCATTCTCAAATGCATCTAAATTTTATTTTAAATATAAAAACACGAAGATTTCGACGGGTTGCAGCACCCACTTAACTTCAGGTTGACTCTACAAGGATGAAGTACTATGTGACCGTAGAAGGAAAAGGGAAGATCTCCCGCCACGTAAGATGTTCTGCCCGGGGAGCGGCCAACGCTCCGTGTGATAGTTCGGAGCTGTTCTATATATACTGTTTATGATTCGGAATGTTAATAGTGCGATTTAGGCTTCGGTGTGTTTCGCTTGTGGCGCGACGACAGCGCCGCTACATCACCCCCCTGCTCAGACCGCAGGTCGATAGTGCAGTCTCGTTGTTGACGAATGTGCAAGTGCCAGGAGATGCCGTGTAGTCTGCGGTGAGTCGAGAAGAACGCAAGTAATCTGCGAGAGTGCCGTGAAGCAGAGGCGAGCAGTAAGACTCAGAGCCGTGCCGAACACTGTAGCGCAGAGTGTAGCTTGAAGGAACAGGAAGCATTATTATTCCAGTGCTGCGATGAACCTTGTGAAGCTAGATGGCTTGCAGGATATGAAGACTGCAGACGATAACTGCTCGGGAGCGAATGGGTGGGGTATTCTATGGATGATGAAGCTTGAAGTTTCCGAAGGTTGTTGGTTGCGTGTTCATATCACCTCGGGGTCACCACTGTGACCGTAGAAGGAAAAGGGAAGATCTCCCGCCGGGCAAGGTGTTCTGCCCGGGGAGCGGCCAACGCTCCGTGTGATAGTTCGGAGCTGTTCTATATATACTGTTTATGATTCGGAATGTTGATAGTGCGATTTAGTCTTCGGTGTTTTTCGCTTGTGGCGCGACGACAGCGCCGCTACAACTATATGGTAGGCTTCATTCCTGCCTGGGATCCCTTAAATTTACGTTTTACTTCATAAAAGGAGCAGTGTACTTGATGTGCTTTAATTTGGAGTCTGAAATTGCTTGAGAATCAATAGATTTTGGCATTTAGTCTTTTAATCATAGTTCTTAGGCTAACTACGCATGTTGTATCCATGGGCTTCTGTTCTATGTGTTTACGGTGTAGATTTTTTTGTATTGCGTATCGGGTGAAATATTTATATAAGACTTAATGTTCAAATTAAAATAATAAATCACAAACAGAGAGGACACCTAGATCGTTCCGACGCGTGTAGGCGAGGCGATAAATGTAATACTAATAACGTATACATACATACTACTAA